TCATGAACAGGTAGAGATGTATTAATCTTATCATTTCCATTTCACCTCCTATGTCCAAAAAAAATAGTAGTAGAGATTCAAATATTCTGAATGCCAAATAAATCTCTACAGATCACACACAAAGGAGGCAGTATAGGACAGTTGTTAAGGACAAAGAATCTGGAGCCAAACTGCCTAGATTCAAATTTTCTAGCTCCACAACTTACTACTATATGACTTCTGGTAAGTTATTTAACCTATGATGTGTAGTTTTCATTTGCAAAATGGGGATAATAATAGAATGTACCTCATAAGTCTGTTGTGAATATTAAATATATTAATGGTTATTAACATATTAGCACAGTGCCTGGCACATAGTAAACACTCAGAAAATATAAACTATAGTGAGAAATGACAACCATGACAATGATGATAAATCCTACCTATGGAGCAACATACTTCACAGAGGAAGAAATGTTTCATGGTTACAAACCACTGTGCTACCCTTGAATTTTTGCCACTGGTCACAGGGGAGACAGTACATTTAAATTAGAGAAACCTATCCACTCTACTATACAAAGAACAACTTGCTAAGATTTGCAGAGTACTAGTATAATTTTACATAATACCTGGATCCATAAATCTAAAGTGTGTATCATACTGACAGTGAGTCAGTATAGGTGTAATCATCTTTATGTAAAAATACATTCTTCCCATCACCAGAAATGACCTTTCCAACCTAAAGCTGTCTTTTTCTCTTACTGCTAACCTTTTGGCATAAAGGTTACTTTATTCTACTTAATGAACGTTCTACCTAAAAGAAATCTTCCACATATTTGTGATATCCCAACTTGGCATGACATCAGAGATAACAAAATCATTTATTTATGAAAAAGTAAGGCAATTTAAGTATCAATGCTCTTCCTCATGTAAAAACCCCAATACTAGACTACTTCAGACAATAACCAGCCCCCCATCACCATCCAGTTTTACTATGGGAAAGATTACCAACATCCCCAGCACTAGTATGAAGAGCAGATACCATTCATACATTTGAGATGATTAAAATATTCATCTAACTAGAATACTGATGTGTGAAGCAGGAAAAACAAACCCTTGGTTTTAACAGAGGCACAATATCCTACAGATAGTTAAATGGGATGCAAAATGTTCTTTAAAAAATATACATGAGGTAAAAAGAGAAATCTGTAATTACTTTATAAACAGTCAACCGTTTAAGAATCCAAGAAAACAAGTTTGCTCTCAAGTTTTGCCAATAATAAATAAATCTCATTTTAATGTAAATTGATGCATAGTGTTGGTATACATTCCTGCATAATTGGTATCTGGTGCACATTTATTAACAGCAGTTTCAAAAGAAACGAAATAGCTGATCAAACATCCACAAAATCTTTGCCCCTGGGCTAAATGCCATATACAGGAGGCACCAAAAACAAGTTTTTAAAATGAACTATTTTCAACAGCACAATTGCAGCTTTATCCAATGGTCTGTCGCCCTACTGACTGACTAAACTTTACCCCATTAATGTGTTCTGCATCAAAAAGGCCATTTTCAATCATCGATCTACTGTGAAAGAAAATTATGGTATTCATAATTAAATATTTGCTATGTATAGCTTTTCAAAAGATTTGCTATCATAATTATTATGTTACTCAAGCCAACATGAGGGCCAGTTGAATACACATTTTATGACAGATAGAAAGAGGGCAAGGCACACCGCATGCTATAGGGAAGCTAGACAGCTAACTTAAAAGTGGATCCTGATAAGCCATAACATAGCAGCTACTTAAAAGGATTGAATTGGTAGGGTCACCTCTATGGTTTCTCTTACAAGGGTACAAGTGAATCTTTCTAAAAGCAGAGTATGAATGTCTTAATAACTAAGAAAATGACACGAAGGCTACATTAACCAGTTTGATGAGAGTATTTTGAATTGTATATGAAAACACCACACTGTACCCCATGATTGCATTAATATACACAGCTATGATTTAATTTAAAAATATATAAAAGAATTGATAGTCACCCAACCAGGTGAAGGCCTAAGCCATGACCTCATATTAAATTGTTTTAAAAACCAACCATTATAATCACTCAAATACAACACTGAAATAATTTGTCACCCACTTTTTTAGAGGTTATGTGAAGTTAAAGATGATGGAGAACATTTTCTCTGACAAAGCCATTCATTCCTTTACATCTACCTCTCATCCTCAGTAGGATAGTGGGTGGGACTACCCAGATACCCTCCGAGGAGACATCCTGGGGTTTAATTCTAAATTCCTAAAACTGAATGGAACTTTCTGCTCTGTCATTTCACTTGTACATCCTCCCTTGCTCTCCTTTAAACTGGAATGCTGATTCTCCTTTGAAAAAAAAAGAGAATTGTTTTCCTTTAAATGGGTGATGGGCAAATTCGCAATTTGTTTAGGTGCCTGGGTGAGTTTTTTTTTTTTTTAAGTAAACAAACAAAACCCCCCAGCTTTATAAAAAGTAGAGGCAAAAGACCTGAAGCCTGAGGCCGTAGGTCTTTACCTCACTCCTCTTGAAATGTTACCTCAGCATTTGTAACAAGGATGTCATAACGAGAAAGCAGGTCAGTGATTTTGCTGACCTGAAGTGGGGGGAGGCTCGTGTTGCCGAAGGAAAGAGCAAAGAGGAAGAACTTCATGGAGGGAAGGGGGTTTAACAGTTTGATGGGAGCTCAACTGTAGAAGAGACAAAATATTAAACCATAGAGAAAGTTTCAAGAATGTGTGGGCTGGGTACAAGTGAAAAGGTTAGCCGGCAGGCAGGGAAACACCCAAGGGCGGAGAGTGGGGAGGAAAGTTTTAAATACCCACCAGCGTCTAGTGAGCCATTAGTGTCCCCTACCCCAGGCTTTGCTCTTGCACCCAGAGCAGTTAGTCGCAGGGAAGCAAACAGCCCTATTTTTAAACACTTAAACGTCTTCCTTGGACTTCAGAAGGCTTGAGTTACCCGCGTTGTAAATAATGTTTCTTTCTAAGTAATTGAAAGCAAATTTGACTTCCCTAGCCAAGGCCAAGGAGAAGGAAGGTAAAAGAACATTTAAAAAAAAAAAAAAAAGTGATTTCAAAGTAAAGAGTGCGGCGACAGGCGGGGGGCCGGGGGAGGAGGACTTACCGCAGCCTCAGCAGGCTGCCCCCAAAGACTCGGGGCCAGTAAGCACAAGCAGGCAGCCAGGCTGACTCCACGCAGTTTCATTCTTCTCCGGCTCCCGCAGCTCCTTCAGCACCCGCACGAAATCCCCGGCCGGCTCTGCCCAATTGACATAATCTTGAGAGTTTGTAGGGAGAGAGCTAAAGCCGGAGAGCAACAGTGAGAGGGTCCCAGTAGTGCCGGTCGGCTTGGGCAAAGAGAAAGAAGCTTTTTAAGAGTGGAAAGGGGTAAACAAAACAAAAAAAAGCTATTCTTCTCTCCCCCCTCCCCTCCCCAAAGCCGATCTCTCGGGAGCACTTTTGCCTTCTGTCCAGACTTGCAAACTTTTTCCTCACTCAAGTCCTACAGATCTACTTTCCTCGCTCTCTTCTCCGCGCACCGCCCCCTCCCCACCAGCGCAGGGGAATTTCAGTATCACTCCGCCACAGCTTTAGGCTGCCCCAGCAACCTGCGAGGGAGTGACGCTCAGTTATTTGAAGGAGGGAAACTTCCAGACCCGTTGACGGAGCGCTAGGAGTCGAACCGGGAAGCTTTGCTATTCGTTCATTTGCACCTTCTGTTGATACTACTCTTCCCGGCCCAGTCCCATTCTCACTGGTGTGAGCGCCAAAGCCAAATACAAATAAACCTGAGCTTGGGACTATTTTTTTTAGCGGATGGATCTCAGAGGACCCGTGCTTTTCATTGTTAATCATTAGAAACAAATTTTGGTCGCTGCTCTCTGGGCCGCGTCTTTGCCTTCCAGCTGCTCGCCGGACAGAGTTTCTGCATACAAGAGGGAGCTGTGAAAATATTGGAAGTATATATAATTAGATACATGCTTATAAATGAAGAAGGAAGAAAATGTATGTGTGCTTCAATAGTTTGTACACACAAGATTTGAGAGCATTCAGTAGATATTTGTAATCGTATGGTTGAACTTTATTGTAATACAGTTGAATATTTTTATTTAGCTACATTGAATGCCATAATTAATATTTAATAAGCTAACATAAAAGGTATTGACTCTCCTTGTAGTTGTGTTGCAGAAAGATTTAGGGCAAGGAATTAAATAACTTTAATGCAGTTTTCCTTAGAATTAACACGAACACCTCACTGGAAATATTTAAATTGAGTTAATAGTTGAATTCATGTCTTCCAAATAGACTTGAACATTACTTTGCCAATTTGCTATATAAATCTTTTTAAGTACCAAAAGGCCCAAAAACATTTCATGTGGACTCCTTGAAGGGTCTTTCACAAGTTTGCTGAAGAATTCTTCACAACATTTCTGTTGTCTCGGTCCCTGGGATTAGTTAACTTTAGCGTCTTTGAAGGTTTTGGATCTACTGGGGGGAGGCACTCATCCTTAAGTTCTCCTTAGCTTAGGAGAGAGTTACAACTCCAGAAACTCCCCCTTCTTCCCAAAAGCTTAGTGGACAGTCTATTAAAATGAGTGCTGTATGCATTTGGGCGTTTGCGCTAGAGCACTTTTGGGCCCATCTGTCTATGTATAATTAGTATGACTAAGTCTATTTATGTGTAACTTAGTGGTTTATGGAAGTGTACGATGCATAGTTGGTTAGGTCTTAGTGTATAGGTCTCTAGGGACCTATGTGTGAAGCTGTGGAGATAATTTGAAAATGTCGTGTTTAGAGGTGCCAGAAAGTGAGCAAGACTACCAGCTGCCCAAGGTAGGGGGGATGATTGACAGCAGACCGCCCCGCCCCTTTCCCCTCCATTCCTTCCTCTCCTGGTGCATGGAACTATCTCCTGAGTGCGGCAAGTTGTAACGGGCACCGCTGAGCCTGTTTCCCTTTGGGGAAGTTCTTATCTAAAAGCTGAGTTTAGTTTCTTCCAAACTGGGCCACTTCGCTTCCCAGCCCTGTCCTGAGTAAGGAAGTAGCCGCCAAGCATCAGCGGAGCCCCGATGAGCCGGGGCCGCGGAGCCGCTTAGCAGTCTCCCGGGACCCAGCTCCGGAGGAGCCGCAAGCATGCACCCTGGGTGAGCTGTTGCTGCCCCGAGCTCCCCTCCTCTTTCCTATTTCGGGCTACTTTGCCAGGCCGGGACTATACTTGCACTTCTGCCAGGGCAGAGAAAGTGGGAGCAGTCATCAAAAAGGGGTTGGGGGGCTGCGGGCAGACGCAAGACCCCGAGCCTAGAAAGCCCATATTACTCACCCTCCCTCCCGTTTCAGGTTGTGGCTGCTGCTGGTTACGTTGTGCCTGACCGAGGAACTGGCAGGAGCGGTGAGTCTCTTCTTCCAACCCCTTCTCCTCCTCTTCCTTGGATCTTCTTCCCATCCCCACCTCATATGTTCGTGTTGGGGGTTGCAGAGGATTGCACTGCAGAGTTCACACCACTCTCCTTTCTAATGCGAGTAAATGAGCTTCTCGAAGAGGACTGAAACAATGTCAGGTTAAGGCTTTAGAGACTCAGGTATCTTCTAAAACTTCGTAACGGGAGAGGGAAATAAAAGTAGCAGACAAAAGATGCACACATTTCTGAGCCTCTTCCTCAAACAACTTAGAATGAGTGGCATCTGTTACCTTCCTCTGCATCCACCTTCAAGTAGAAGAAACATAATTTTCCCTGGCCTTCAAGAACATGAATTGGCACACAAGTTTGAGAGTGGGAGAAGAGCACAAGGGGGGTGGAGAAGGACTTGAAAGTGCCTCTAAGTTATGGGCATTAAATTTAAGTACAGTATTTGCTTGTGAGTTCTTTGACAGTACCGGGTGACAACATCTGGATTCTTTAACTACCTGAATTCAACTGATATCACTAGATGATGTTCAATTTCGGTCTCATGTTTTCTTTTACTGGTTTTCTATGTCATCAGCAAGTTGAAAGTTAAAGTTACGACAGAAAAAAAAAATCTAAAAGTTAACATTTTAGGGGCTGTTTAGATATCCTATATTAAATTAGCTAGGAGCAAACAGGCAAAGAAATTTCTATAGACATCTGGTCAGGAGAAGTTTCATGGATCCCAGAAATCTCCAATGGAATTACTAGAATAAATTTACAAAGGTGGAGTGGCCTCAATAATCAGAGATGCTGCGATTTTCCAGTCATACTAGCTACATACGGTGGCAGAAAGAAAAACTGTTGAATTTGGGCATGAAGTTGTTAAAGTATCTAGTACTTTTTCACTGCTGTATTTTTTTTAAAGCCTTAGTAACAGCCAAAGTCAGATACCGATAACAGATGGATACATATTCCAAATATTAATCTTGTGGGTTTTGATATTTTTAACTGGCTGTATTTTTTACTATTTGTTTATAGGGCCATACTTAATTCAACCTAGAAGAATCTCTTAATATGTTTATGAAAAAATGGATTAGTTTGTCCTGGCATATGAAGTCTTTAGGAAAATGCCAGAATAAAGTGACATGATTTCTTTTGTGAGGCGAGGACCGTGTAAGAAAACTTGAGTTCTAACATCTTGTGACTCTTAACTAAGGACATCAACTCTTATGTGAACTCCAGACTTTGTAAGCAGAAATACTGATCCAGGGTTCTGTACACTTCTCCATCTGATTCCTTCTGTGTACAAGTTTAGTTTTGTGTTACCCTGAGGCTTCTCAGTACATTTATTGAAAGTGCCAAGTTTTGATTAGTTGACGGTTTGTCCAGGAATCTTGCCACTTGTAAAAATATCGTCCTTGGGCAGAATACCCTCCAGCAAAATCTTTATTTTCAGACTCTGAGTGATCTTATTCTGTGTACTTTTGAGGAAAGAACTACAGATTGTTCCAGATAGCCAAAGACTTCCCAAATACTGCCTTCTATCACTTAATATTCTTAAAAGCCACAGAAGGATGGTGCTTTCAGTTCTTACAGGTACCGAAGTAAGTCTCCCAAATCAAGCACTACTTGGGTTTTAGACTCTAATTCATTGTTTTACAGTGTCGCCTGATACGTCAATGTGACTGACCCTAGTAAGACTAAAATAAACCTGGAGATTCACTGACTTTATTTTTTGCCTTGATGGATTCCCGAGCCTCTTCCTTCACTCCTTGGTTACTTATGCACAACATCTTTGGGGTTATAAAGCTATTTCTTTTTTCGTTTTGGAAAACTGGCAAAAAGAAAGAGGAGAGTCACAGGATAAGTTCTCAGAAGATGACTTTTCTGAAGGGAGGTTTTTTTCCTTTTTCTTTTCCACTCTGGACACTGGATTTTCATATGCTTGGGCTGGTTCTTATCTTCTCTCAATTCCACTTCATCCTCCAGATGTAGAGTGTTTTTTCACATTTCAGATGGTTTTGAACATTTGAATTCTCTGTATTTTGTTTGACTAATATTAATGAAAGTAGGTATTGTAAATAGATTAACAGAAACTATATTCTGTTTCACTAGGATAAAGTTTCTTTACTGTGAGAATTAAGTTACCAATAATGGAATATTGGTAAGCATTTGAAGATATGGTCTTCTAGGTGCTTTTGAGATCTTTCTTTCTCAGAGTTCATAAAGCATGCATGTATGTATACGTGTGTGCGCGTGTGTGTGTGTAAACCTAAACGTAAAATCCAGGATTTAAAAGTGAATTTCCATTACACTGATTTTAAAGGGATGATGATCTTCATTCAGGTAAAAATATTTGCACAATTTACCTGAATAAGCTTAGGATTTCAGAATATACATCATCATCTTTGGTTACTAAGTACCTAACTATCCAAGGAGCTGTCCTAGGCTAGGCACGGTGTGTGAAGATTTATTTAAACATAATTCTTAACTCTCTAGGAATTTTGGTTCTTAGACAATGGTGCTCATTATGTTCTTGAAAAGATAGGAGTTAGTAATAAATAATTATCTGCATGTACTCTTGAATCGTGTTGGAGAAAAGACTGGAAAGATAAAATTCTCACCATAGGCCAACTTGTCTAGGAGACAAAATACATCCCCAAGTGGTCAGAGTTTTTAACGTTTTCTTCCTGCTTTGCCCCTATCTAAATGTGCTTTTATGGAAGGCTCCAATACAACCAAATATATTGAAAGTCAAGAGCCTAGTGGGAGATTTATTCCAGTAGGGAGGCGGGTAAGTGGAGAAACCATGTCTACTGTCCCATCTGCAGAAAGCATACGTAAAATGCCATTAGCCACATTCAAATCAAGATCTGATTGAAACATCAACATCTTTACTATTATCATTAGTGTTGTTATTTCAGGTTAAGTTGTAACTTGCCCAGGTTGGTCTTTTCCACCGTGATTTTCAGTCTTATAGCAGTCATCGAAGTATGAATAACATGTTAAGGGAACTGAGAGATGGAGAAAATCCTTTCTTATTCTAAAGATCAAAAAAAGTATTTGTTTATTTGGGGCTGTGTCTCTATGAATTCTTAAGTAGTCTTCTGTTTTGTCTGTTAGCAAATATCCTATATCAGCTAACTATAATATACATATGGAAGTGTATGTACATAGAATGTGTATCTTGGATTTGGATGTGATGATAGTTCTCATCTGTAGTCCAAGCTACTCAGGAGGCTGAGGTGAAATGATTGCTTGAGGCTAAGAGAGGGAAACCACCCTAGACAGTATAGTGAGACCGCGTGTCTTTAAACAAACAAACCACCACAGGTTCATGCCTGTAATCCCAGACTCTGGGAGGCTGAGCTGGGCGGATCTCCTGAGCATACAAGTTGGATACCAACCTGAGCTAGAGCGAGACCCTGCCTCTCAAAATAGCCAGATGTTGTGGCACGCACCTGTAATCCCAGCCACTTGGGAGGCTGAGGCAAGAGAATTGTTTGAGCCCAGGGGTCTGAGGTTGCTCTGAGCTGTGTGCCATGGCACTCTACCAGGGGTGACAAAATGAGACTCTGTCTCAAAATAAATAAATTAATTAATTAATTAAAAATAAATAAAAGAATACGTATCTTGGTGTACATCTTAAGATGAGTGAAGCTACTGATACAAATGTAGGAGTACCCCAGTAAGTGAATCATCAAATGACTAGGTAAACACATAATCATGAATGACAATATATTTACAGTATTGGCAGGTCAAATACAAATGTATTTAAGACAAGAGAGAAGGGGATGATAGATATTATTATTTAATGTGTTACTAAAGAAACATGTTACCATATCAAAAAAATATTATTTATATGTATATCTTTTTTTTTGAGACAGGGTCTCACCATGTTGCCCAGGTTGGAGTGCAACTCATTATAACCTTGAACTCCTGGGTTCAAGCTATCCTCCCAGCTCAGCCTCCTTAGTATCTGGGACCACACCTGGCTAATTTTTCTATTTTTTTATAGACATGGGGTCTAGTTGTGTTTCCCAGCCTGGTCCAGAACTCCTGGACTCGAGCAATCCTCCTGCCTCAGCTTCCCAAATTTCTGGGATTACAAGTGTGAGCCACCATACCTGACCTTTCTTATATATTTTGATTATTACATTTCAATGTAATTGGTTTTCATTGTAATCCCATGTATTTTGTTGTATTCTTTAAAGAATATTATTCTATCAAGACACAGTGGAAGGCACATGTAGTCCCACTACTCGGGAGGCTAAGTTAGGAGGATCACTTGAGACCAGGAGTTCAAGGTTGTAGCACAATGTAACTGTGCCTATGAACAGCCACTGCACTCCAGCCAGGGCAACATAGTGAGACTCCATCTCAGAAAAAAAAAAGGGGGGAATATTATTCTAAAAAGAAGTCCATAAGCTTCACTAGACTGTCAAAATAATCCATGATATTAAAAAAGAAGCCCTAGCTTATGAAATTACAGTAGACAGTCACTGTCTAAGGTTTGTTCAGGCAAAAGGGCATTTGCGTTGAGTATGAGTGCTTACAATCTTTTAGTTTTTAGGCATAGTTTGGAGTCTCTAGTAATTATGCCCACATATTCTACAAGCTCTTAGTCAAACTAGATCACTAGAGCAAAGTATGCTATTGCCCTTGTTACTTCACAAATACAAGAATGAAACTGGCCTCAAATATCAATATGTATTGGTATTTGCCTATCTGAATTATGAATAAAGCATTCATATGAACTATGGATAATTCCCTAATTTTACCACTACACTTGGAGTATACACTTGCTCTATACTGTATAGGTGATAAGACATAGGCATATAAAAAAGAAAATATTAAGAAAACACCAGGCTGGGCAGCGCCTTTGGCTGGGTGAGTAGGGCTCCATATACTGAGGGTGGCCAGTTCGAACCTGACACACGCCAGCTAAAACGGCAACAAGAATTGCAACAAAAAATAGCTGGGCACTGTGGCAGATGCCTGT